ACTACAGGAGAACTAGAGTCAAACTAGAGAAAGTCCATGATAGAAAATATATTATAAGCATAGAAATGAAGGGGGTTTTACATCTTCAACTTATAATCATGATACAAAACTGATTTAAAAAATCATAATTGACACGTCTAAACAAAACTCTAAATATGAAAATGTGGCACGACGAGCTTTTGAATATTCATTAAAGGTCTTGCGTTTGTGAAATGAAAATTTTAAGCTATCTTACCCAGTGACCATTACTGCTAGTGATGAAGAACCAAAATAGTTCAAAATACCCTTTTTTTTTTAATCTTATTGAGATGAAAAAAAGAAAGTTGGTTAATTACCCTACAAATCAAACCCAACACAGTAAACCCCAGGAATCAAACTAGTGAAATTAAAATACCAACATTAGCAGACGAGTCCTGATGAATCAATTCTAATACATCCTTCAAGCCTCTCATCAATTTAGTGTCTGCGTTCTTATTTGTAGACCCGTTCAAGGTAACCTCAACAATCCTTGTTAAAAAAAAAAAAAGGTTACACTACAAGCTAAAAAAGATCTATAGCAGTAAATACACAAGAACAAGAATAAAGAGAGGAGTCGAGACTCAGAGAAGTTTACCCCATGGCAGCAATGGATCACGAGACCTAGAGATCGACGGCAAGAACGACACGAACCCACAGAGGAATTCGACCGCAAAACAGCATGAGATCTGAACGGATCTCAATGGAGCGAACGGACTTTGACCTGACAGAAAACGCGCTCAGATCGTGGAACGGTGTGATGAATCTTACAGAAATTGACTTCGACGGTGCGATGATCTAAAGGGACTTCGGCGGCTAATGGCATCGACTTCGACGGCGGACAACGTGGGGCTGCAGGGTAGAGAGAGCTGCAGGGTAGAAGAGAGGAGCTCGAGGGTGGGTGTGGGCTATGTTAATCTTCAAAAGTGAGTAGCAGATAAAGACCTAGATATAAAAAATTAATATTGTTTTATTTATGTTTTATATTTTTTAAATATAAAATTATTATATACAATAAAAAATTAATGTTATATTATTTAACTTTTATATTCTTAAAATACAAATTTTTTATATACAATAAAAAATTAAATTTATAATTTCGTAAATTTTAGTGACTATATAAAATAAAATTTTACACATTATTTTTTTATTAAAATAGTTTTGTAATTATAATACATTAAAATTAATAAATTAATTAAAAATTAAATTAAAACTAAATTAAACACAATAATATTAAATATATTAATAACTAGATATAAATAAAATTATAAATATATTTCATAATTAATTAAGAAATTCAATTATTAATATTAAATAATATATTAATTATTTAACTATTATTTTTTACTTTTTTATTATAATACCTTCGGAGCGCTCCACGTTGAAGCGCTCTGTTATGTCTAATGTAGAAGAGTGTTTCAAGCAAAGGTCTCCCATATGTTGGTTTTGCTCTTTAAACTTTTTTATTTTTATTTTTTTTGCCAACACGTATGCGAGCGCTTCAATGGAATGCGCTCCTATAAGCCTTTGTCACTTAAGCTTAAAGGAGCACTTTTTTAGGAGCGCTCCCTTGGTTTATGTGTTTTAAAATTATTTTTTAAAGTATATATGGGAGCGCTTTTTTATGAAAGCACTCCCGTATTCTTTGAATTTCAAAGTACTTGAAACAAAATATTCTCAAAGATTCTGTATTTATTTTTAGGAGTACTTTTCATTTAAGCGCTCTAAAATAAGCGCTCCCATAAGTATTTTTTGTAGTAATGACAAAATTTCTTGTATGTAAAAAT